AATTCCTCCTAGTTAGAAGGGACCATTCAAGAGGACATCTGCCAATAGATTCGTCGCTAGTGGCGAGGTTGTAACTCCGATGGTTGGACCACCACATCGCTCCTCTGTTTGTTCCTTCCCGTTTTTAAACGCACATACTCGTCTGGCCTTTTGACAGCCCGTCCATAATGAGCACCAACTCCATCCATCTTGCTTGTGGTGGCGCCACTGTTTTTCCAAGGAAAATCTCCGCGCACACATCATTAATGATAAACGAACGTTTGAACGCGTAAATTTCTGGGTAATTTGGCACATGTGAAGGGTGCAACCGAGTAGCTACCGAACACTGTAAGGTGGTGCACAGTGACCGCAATCAAAGACAAGGACTTGAGGTACGGATACGTGCATGACCACTGGCGAAAACTCGATATCCTCCAGCGGAAGAGAAATAATGGCCAGAAAGTCGATCTTCATCATGTAGCTATAGCCGTCTGGTCTGTTCATGGAAATAACAGCCAGGAATGAACCCTACTGTTCAAAATCAGTCGTGTTTGCCACCAAGGAATCAGAAGGGGCGTACGGAACTGCAGTGGGTCCCAAGTCGTGATGGTCGCCCAGTTGGAAGAGTGACGGCGGCAATCATGTTACCCTTTTTCATTTAAGGTGGTAGTGTAGGGCTCAGGTGGGAACGGCCAAAACAGGACGAGGACGTGAAGCGCATACATTTCTATGCGGACAACACATCCGCCATAGAGGCAATCTTCGACCCACTACCCAAAACAGGCCAAGCCTTCTCCATTGTATTCCATCGACGCATCCGGGAGTTCCTAGACAGGGACCCGACTCACACGGTCGAAATAGCATAGTGTCCAGGACACAAGGATGTTATGGGAAACGAGCGAGCAGACTCTCTGGCCAAGAGAGGCGCTGAGAAATTAGCGGAGAACACAGGAAGGACAAGGGCAAACGCAAGGAGGGAGGTGAAAGCGAAGACAGTAGAACAGTGGAAAAAAACAGTGGGAAGGGAGCCCGAAATATAGACGCTTCGCAACGGCAAACAGGATCCCACCATCATTGAAACCCACACGCCACCTCTGTGACTTGGCAGGCAAGCGCGAGATATTCGGCCGAGTCCTACCGTGCCGCACAGGGCACGGGTATATAGGCGAGTACTACTCCCAATTCGTACCATCCGAGAACGTTGACTGTCCATGCGGTGAAGCAGACCAGACGCGCGAACATATAATACGCGAATGTCCATTATACGAGGACCAGTCCGACCAACGGGAGGAGCTCCGAAAAGCCTCAAGGTCACTATACCTGCCGGACATACTCGGCACGAGGGAGGGAATCAAAGCACTAAGCCAGTTTATTGAGGACTCAGGGGCGTTCACAAGGTCAGGGGAGCCACGGGTCCCAAGAGTAGCGCCAGAATTCGAAGAGGACGGGAGAGAATGGTGGGAGGATGAAGAAGGGGAGTCGGAGGATGAGCACGGATAACCCGCAGGAGGAAACATCCTCTCAGAGAGCAAACCACCACACCAAAACACGATGACGCGCGCTAAAACCACGGCCACGGCCACCCGCAGATCTAAAAGCACCCGCCCGAGTCAGGGCAAATAAACACTTCGCAAGTCTGTTGCTATACTCCACACACAACGCTACCAACCCCGAGTTTGAAAAGTAGTGTATTGAACGGAGGGACCAGGTACAAGAGGGAGGAGGAAGCCTGGGCACCGGCCCCGCCACCGTGTCTTAGTAGATAGTTTACTTGTTGCGGTTAATCAAATGCAGAGTCCAAGAAGAAAAGGTGGGAACGACCACATCACATGAGATTCACGTGATATATCCTACCTTACTACCACCATCATTACCACGTCCTCCAACATTGTCAACTCTTTTCTCAGCGCTTGGTCGAATAAGATATCCTATGCAAAAGGTGTCGAGGACGCCGTATCGTGGTACTCGTGGTACGCGTCTCTTTTTCTCTCTTCGGCGGGGTTGACGTCGAGCACGAGTAGATCTGGACTTAGGTTCTCGACGACGACGACGACTGTCCAAGATCCACGAATTCCTTTCCAACTCGCCGATATGCATGCTTAGACATTGATGACATGATAAAATCTGTGAAGGTGCCGTCCTTACTCAGACGACGTTGAGCTTGGTCCCTCCGACGTTGGAATTGACAGTTATTTAATACCGCAGTGAAGAGCGGTATGACTGGAGGAGCCCTGCTTGGGTAGCATAGCACCTGGACCTTCGATTTAGGGATATCATCCTCATATATGCGGAGCCACGGGCCATGAAATATCCATCCTTGCCCCGCTCTTGATGGAAGAATACACAGCAGCCGGTTTTTCTGAACAGTCTCCATGTGTGTACCTTTTGTTTGGGTCGATATCGAGGTGTTGAACGTTGTCTAGACTCTGGAGCCTTCTGGCGTAGTCCTTTCCAGAGTGCTCGAGACGGTGACGATGTCTACCCAGGACAATAAACCACGTTCTAACTCCTCTATATGCTTGAACATGGACCTGTGACGCGACGAAATGCGTGAAGATGCTATCGTTGGATATCGTGGAGAGCTTGCAAGTCGGTGGTGGCATCTTGGGCGATACAAAATCTGGATCGTTAGCTGAAGGGAAAAGAATCCTCCCAATGGCTTTGTGCGGAGATACCGCACATATGGAGCCACAGCAACCTGAGAACTTATGGATTCAAATTACTTGTACGTTTTTTCGACTCGCTTCCCTGTTTTGTTTTCAAACTTTGTACGTTGTTAGATCTTACTTCGGAACGGGTGTCTGCTTTGACACGTCCCGTTCGTGCCAGAGAACCCTATAGAGCGTGCGTGTAATGACAAGCGCACTTAGCTTTTGTTCATGTCGCTATCGAGGTATTGGACTATCACCTGGAATATCAGCCATTTCGGAACGCTGTGAGAACCACTCCGGAACATTATTTTAGTTCGTAAAGTGGTTCTTCCTTTTTGCAACCATACGTGCGTCGAGCGCGGGACGCATTGTGGGAAAAAATGACAATCCTTGGATCAACTCGCGGAAGAAGCGTAGTGCCATAATGCCAACCTGACTGAGCAAGGATTGCCGGTTCACCAGTTCAAGGCCATGAACGTGTTTTCTTCGTCGGACGGGAGTTCAGTAAGTAATCAGAATCTGATGAATTTTCGCACATCTGATTTATCACTCATCGGGACAGACGTAGAACTCGGCACCTGAGGGCTGGATCCTGTTCCAACAGAAATGAACATTGGAGCACCGATATCACACGATGTATATCAATGGCTACGCGAGTAAATATCCTGATACTCCGAAAGGTCCCTGTTTCTAATAACGTTAATGCAGATACCATATATCGCTAGTTCAACCCCATTAAAGCCACGCTTGCCAACACTTAACAGCAGAACGGCGACCTATGGACGACTCCTTCCTGCGTTCTCTCCTTCCTTGCCGGAATCTTGTGAGGACACTGCCCTTTTCTAGCATCGTATTCATGCCTAGTCAAATGAAAGCACTCATGAAGCAGCACCACCTCACGTTCCGAATCCCACCTGAGTAATGAATGGTGATGGTCCCGTCGACCTGCCTAGATCATTCCCAGGCTTGTCTCCCTTCGATGCAATGGGCGGAAATGAACTCTCCATTCTTCTTGTTATACAAAAGTATCTTGCGTCCAGTCTACGTAATTGTGACGTTTTCCACGCGTCTCCTGTTGCGCCACTATCCCATATCAAAGGACCGGACAGGACAAAGTTGCATCTAATACGAGGAATCATTTCCAAACGCCTTCCGCATCGATATACCCCTGATTTCTGGTCGCTTTTCACGACGCTAGTTCCCGATCTGGAGACATTTGTCTCGGTCGCCACGAGAGTTCGCGCGACGAGTTTAACTCTGTCTGAAAGTAGGGGATCGTGGAATCGTCGTCTTTCTTTTTCGCACTTACTGGTCGTCTAACGGGCGGTTTTCCGCTTTCTTCCCCAAATCTCTGATTATCAGATTGACATTTAGCATTGGAATTTTCGAAGCCACTTAATCGATCAAGCATAAGTGCGAAGTTATGGTAGCCTGATCCACCGACCTCATCAAACTCATCCCCGGAAGGTATCTGCAGATCTTTACTGCGCCATATGTCCTCAAACCCTAAGATCATAGATCATAGACCCTTCGCAACCATGGTGTCGTCCTCGCTCTTCATCCGCGTAATTGGCGGGCATTTTGACTAAATTTACCCATCTTTCTTTTTCCCACTTCTTTCCTGTCATTCTTTTCCGTTTCATCCGTCCTCGTTTTTATTTCAATGAATGGGAGGTGCTGTACCTATTGTATTCCATCACAGGTGCTGCTTATCGCATATGATCTACCAATCACAGCCTGACTTTTTGCAGGATCGGAAGGTCCATCCTCTCGTCGCCGGTTTCTCCTTTAGGGTACTCAAAGGCCACCGAATATCGAACAACATGCACCTTGTGCTTGGAAACGGCAATTTGAGTCTGATACCCCCTTTCGTATCTGACCTGACTAACAAGGTTCGACGGTTGGAGTGCTTTCCTCGTCTAGGACCATACCGACCGTCATGTAACAAGGCACGCTAACTACGTACGACCCTTCCGTTGGGAGGTCTTGCAAATCTGTTCAATGATGACGACATACCCGAAGGACAGGGACGTCAGGACCAAACGGAATGCCCGACGGAACGTGGGACCCATGTGGATCTACCATCTACAAACTGAGGTGTGTATCACTCAAGGGCTCGGAGAAGTCACGACTGTTTTCATCTTCAACCCTTGGGCTAATCCATATTCATAGTATACGAGGATAAATTATGTCGACACGAGATTTGTCTACTCTGGGTATAGTCTGGTGATGCAGCATACGGTTTGGTACAACGTGGCTAGCTACCGTAAGTGTAACCATCATTATGGAGAATTCATAGAACGCAACTCTGAAACCTTCAAAGATCATATATTAAACTTTGAATTACGGGACAGACACCTACGATGAATATCAGAACTCTAATTCCTCGAGCCAGCTGGATTCAGGAATATTTTCGCCGTCACAAAATGGGGAGGGGCCTGAACGATTAGAATAGGATATTCGATGACGCCGGAATGTGCTGCCACGGCGTGTCATAAGAGAAGAAGCATCATGAGGTGTACTGGGAACCGGGTATAGAGATCTAGAGGAGGAACTAGCAGAGGGTAGGCCTAAAGAAGAATGAGATGTTTCCGAATCGGTCATATGAGGACCAGGGTGCTTGACAAAATGTTTGCGCTGGGTCAGCGCAATCCTAAAGCGTCCTGTCAAGATATCCCCGTCCCGTCCAAGTGGATATTCTCCGTCGCAAGCTGCATCCGGTGCTATTTGCGGTTTACTGGACCTTTTCCTGCGTCTTTTCCGCCCTTTGGATACAACTGGAGGACGTGCTGAGAACGCTACCAAGGGTATTTCTGGTGAAAAAATGACGTTAATAAGGTGGTATACGCATGCTTGGTATCGGCTGCTAGTGCCCGCCGGTCCTGTATTGATGCGCTCAAAAAGCAGGTCGGCCTGCCTCCAGTGCGACTGTTGCGCTTGTTTCAGCTGTTGTTTAGCATGTACGGTCCGGTCATAAATGAAAATGTTCGGGCTGAACCATCTTTTGAGAGCCATGTCGACAAACCTGACCTTATCGTCGACTATTAAGACAGCAGACGGATCTATGTCGTGTCCGTCAAGAAGGTAGATGTGATTTTGCTGCATTTTTTGGAAGGCGTTGTAAACCTATGCGGGATCAGAGAAGCGAAGCGTCCTCAAAGTAACACATACCAAGGTACGATCCTTATATGACACCATTCGCGTTCCTTCTTCTACGCATTTGACTACTCCAATCATACGGCCATCACGAGCTAGACAGGCCAAAATAGGAGTAGTCAAATCCAGTGGTTCCAATTTTTGGCATCCGTCCATCATGCACTGCAAGGCCAACGACGAAGTATGATTGTAAGCGTATTCGACTTCTGTGAAGTATATGATCAGTACAAAGCGGGCGCATAAGCGTCTACCATGGAAGTTGGACTACCTACCGACTGGCCTGATCCCATCCAACAACGCACGTTTCCAGCCCGCCTGCAGCCATTCAGTGACTTGAAGCTGGCTTTCATCGACACAGCGATATCCGGCCAAGTAAGGGATTCGGAGGTGTTTTTCCTCCTGTGGGATAAGGCGAGCGTGGCCGTCCGATGCGATATACAACATTGCTTGGCGGATATCGTCGAAATCAATAGAATTAAGAAGTGTTTCCTACCAACATTAATATAGTGAGCTCAAGCTATGGACATCTAGGAAATGTCTCGGTCACATACTATCAATTCGAGCTGCACCATAAGATTAGTGAGCACGACGACAGGTGGTCCCCAGACAATAACTTCGTGGTTGTTTTTGATGAATTGAAACATAGCTTTTCCACTTCCAGGCGCTTCGTAGACGTCTCGATAGAAGCCTACCTGGTCTACGGCGAGGATTAAATACTAGGATAAGCTTCACTGAGCAACCAGACTAACCGCGAACTACAATTGCATTTGAAGGGATCGAACGAAGAGTTTTCCTTGGTTCAAGGCCGACGTCATGGCCGACAGTGTCATAGAGATATTTCTGAGGATGGGGTTCACCAGCCATGCCGTCGTCTGTGAGAAAGGGGAGAGGATACAACAAACGCTCAACCAGAAGCTGCCGAAGATATAGTAGACGTCCGAAACAGACACATCAAGTGCATTCAATGGGTGTGTGCCTATCCTTTTTAGTCGGGCGCTTAGCATAAAATAAGACAATGGTCTAGTGGAAGCGGCGGCTAACTGCAACATGAAGGGGCGATTCCAAGCCGTCCAAGACTTCCTCACAGTTTGGAGCTGGTGCACGACACAACATTAGAGAGACACGAATGTATCCCATGAGGAGGGACGGCACTCCGGAACGCACATTGCGCCTTGTTCGAACTGGTGTTCGAAGAATTCCAGAAGAACAGGAAAAGAATACAATGCCATCTTTAGAAGAAGCTGTGTCCCAGGTAACGGTGTAGTGCCGGTGTTTGTCAGCTCTGATTGGGTGACAGGATGAGGTCCTGATATGAACCGATCCTGTGAAGCTGTCCGGATGCGCCCTTGGGACGATCATAATAGCAGAGTGCGCGTAGAAGAATCTGAAGGGCATATATAGCCCACGAGATGATGTCCCTCCGATAAGAATACATGCGCTGAAGAAGTTATAAGAGAGCGCGCGCCAAACAAAGTGATCCTAGTACCACTGTTGACTAGGCAACTACAATCCAAAATAAAATGATGAGTGTTGATAAGAACCGGGAACAATGTAAATGGGCCTGACGCTCTGTAGAAGACTTGGCTTTCGGGTGCGTGCGATTGAACACAATGCTAAACTGGGCAAAGAATGGGTGGACATCTTGAGGTAGTAGATGTCAAACGACGTAACAAGGTAGTGCATGTTAAATACGTCCAATCATTACGCGTACGATCGGCGGGTGATTGCGATATTCTAAGTACTTCTTCATGATAGGAAGTCAAAACGCTGTTATTTTAGAAATGACCCAACGATAGAACGGAATTGACGAACCTTGATTGAGCACAGTTTCCACAAATTCTACTTCAAGCTTTCCCTTGACAAGGGGCTACCAGGCTTTATGAATAGTGGGATGAGCTTACGTTTTGATTGACTTACCATCTTTAAAACCTTTTGCCGTAATGATTTTTGGGCTTGATCAATGATATTTGAGGTATTTATCTGTGAAATAGTGGTTAACAACTGAAAGATCCTGATGAAATGCAAGAAAACAAATACTTATGAAGCCATCGTCATGCGTGGAAGTGTCTTTGCAGCAAATGAGGTTTCCCAACCCACAGTCAACCTCGGAGCTGAAGAGGTATGCGCAAGGCGAGTGTATATTTTTTATCTACCTGAATGTGTCAGTCGACAACCATCGACGATGTAAATAAAACGAGAAAGAAGTACGTGGGCCAAGTTCGGAGTATTCGTAAGTCGCCGGTCTCAGCGCTTGAATTGGCATTTTGTAACAAGGGTCCGCCGCGGTGCCGGCGCACGGGACCTTGCTGGCTGAATATTTGCCCGATCTCACGCTACTTGGATCTACTTGGATAAGTGTCGATTAATAGTCAGCGCAAACAATCTTTCCTTGAAATATTAGGGGTGTTCGTGCAGTTGCTCAATGTGTTTTGTAAAATAGAAGAATGTTGATGTCGATTTTTGATAGACTGAAGTAAGCGGCATGCACGCATTTAACAACAGTCTGACTAAGTTCTCTGTGCAATGCTCTTAGTGACTCACAAGGCCCGGCCCAGCTCGGCTTAGCTCGGAAGGGCTCCGGCTCTCCAAATCGCAAGCTCGGGCCTTGAGCCCAAGCCCATTGAGGCTCAGGCTCAGCTTGGGTTCAGGCCCGGGCTTGTATACAAGAAAATATTTTCAGCTTGAACGACCTCTAGGAAGGCAAGAGAATGAGAAACGAAGTTGCTATTCACTTCACAGGGTATTCTATTAGTAAGAGAGTAAGTTTATACTATAAAGACCACGCATGAAAACATGAGAAATAGACACAGCCAAGGAAAACCATGGTATACCAAGTTTTGGTTTTGTCAGCCCAACACAAAGTCTGTATCTTCCTCAATTCTCCCCTTCCTCCAAATAATCTTCTGCTGTACTGGCCGGAGTATCGGCGATGGTTGTGATGAGTGCGTTGATGAATTGCGATGATAGCAAGCAGAAAAGCGATCTCGGCAACTTCCATAGTCCGATCGGACTTCCAAAATTAATCCCAAATGATAGAAAATGACATGCTCTCCTCGCCTGAATGCCTGTGGTTGTAGGGTATTTAGAGCCTGGGCTTGAGCCTGAGACTTGAGCTTGAGCTTTCAAAAAATGAAGCCTGAACCTGAGCCTTTTCAACGTTCAACAAGCCTACCCATAGGGCCCGGCTCAGCTTGGGGCTTGAGCTTGCTGCTTCAGGCCGGGCTTTGTAAACACTCTGCGGCTCATCGGCGCCACCGGTTATTTGGCTATATTTACATTTGGAGTAAATTGCATAAGGAAAAAGTCGTAGTGGGTAGACCTAGCTTTCCAGCAAGGTAACTCCGCTCATGTGGCGTGGTCCGATCTCTCTGAGCATGTCACAGTGGGTACATGGCACATGCTCGTCTTTTCCTCTTCTGCTTACCTGCCTCCCACCTTCAAATTCTCATTGAATACAGCTTCTGCCATTCCAAGACTGTATGCGCATATGCTGTACATCCAGGTATATGGAACAGCACAGCTGGCATTTGATGTGACAAGCTATTCACAATCTCTTGTTTGGAACATTGATTAATACTCATTGTCAGGCTACTTCTGAACCCCCTCCATGAGCACCGTGATGCATTGATGAGTCAATGGATGGCAGTGCTGACATCGACCTTTATCGATTGCCAGTGATGCAGCGACAGGAGTTGATAAGGCAGGAAAAGTTCCTGTCTGATACCGTCATACCTGAAGAGTAAGTCTGTATCGCCATTAGTCTACAAGAGATTATGCCACGCTTTATCGATAGAATCTCCAAATGCCCACTAGATCACTCCACTAGTGTGATATCCATCAGCAATCTCATAAGAGTGATAGAGCCCCAGATCATCCAGATGTAACATATAGAGCAAATTTAGGACTGATGGAGAAGTATCGAATGATGTTGCCTTCATTCCCATGAACAAAAGTACTATAGGTATTACCATCACTGTATTAGGAACCAACGCCTCAACTAAGCTTTGGAGAAACTAGTTGTTACAGCTAGACAAACCTGCAGCCATTCCCGAACAGTAATTGAATGGGAGGGAATGACATGATGAGAGTTGAGTCGGCCCCTGTTACGGTTTATTCATTTTTCTTCCTTTTTCTTTGTTTTACTCAGCCTGATTACTCGTATGCGATCATCACGGATGATTTCTCACAGTACTATTATTAGCGTACTCAAGTGTATTTAAGTAGAGCCTCAGCTGGTCTAAACCCCAGCTTCGGCTAAGGTTTAATCTACCTAACATCGAACTCCGTTCTTCGTGACTATCTGTCCCATCGACTTTCGTTGCCTTTGACTTGCTAGAGTATCTACCACCGAAGTGCGAGTGGGGATCCTAGTACAATCTAAGTCGATTCAAGTTAGTGGCTAACATTTAGCCGAAGCTCGCCTATCGTTGCCCAGTGCCATGTCACAGGACAGGCATTACCCAACATACTACCCTTCATTATCCTTGCCGCCGTAGCACTCCATGTGCTACCCTTCCTTTTCAATGACCTGTTAGGCCTGGTTCTAGTAACCATCCTTTGAGTCTTCCTATTCTGCGTATACGTCCCAGCCCCGCTCTTTGCAGGAATACTCCTGCTCTTCTGGGTTGGACCTTTACGACAGTGAACACCTTCACCCTCCTTTTCCGTCTCGTTTCATTGTTGGCAATCACATTGCTGGCATTGACGAGCACCTCCGGAGAAAGCGAACTCCCATTAATGACCGGCTCCGACTACGAAACCGACATTAGCCTGATTATCGCCATTCTCATTGTACTCACCATCCTCACCATTCAACTACTCGCCCGCCACCTGCTAAATGGCTATTACTTGCAGCCGTCGCATGACTAGTAAAAGTCGTCAAACTCTACAGAGGATAGACCCGCACACGGATGCCCTGGTCCGATGTCATTCCCGCAGTCTTTGCAACTTTTATTCTCTTTTTCTTGTCCATCTCCTTGTACTACCTACTCCGCTGTTGCCGTCAACAAAGGAGGGTTCGACCACAGCTCCCCTTTCATTACATGCCCAGCGCACCCACGTATCCCCCGCAGATAATCGATATACCTGCGGCATCTCAACAAACCTTACCCCCTGTCCCAGTGGAAGAATCCCTGTATGGAGAGTCCCTCTACGGATCGTCGCGACCCAGCTCGCAATCCTCAGAGTCGAGCACCGACTCCTACAGAAGCGCTACTGATGAGTCAGCAGACTCCGTCGACATCACTGATACCCGGGGCATACTCCTCGACAGAGGAGACTCACCCCTACCAGGTCTCTTCAACCAGTCTCCAGTCGAAAGCGAGTCAGGCACCAACTGAACCAGAGGACCAGACACCAGGCCTGTGGTCGAGGGCGAAGAAGAGGCTGATACCGAGTTCGAAGGGGACGAGCTCACCGAGTTCAAAAGAACCCGTCTCGACGACCTCCTCGACGACATCTACCCGAACACGGAGGAAGATGCTACCTATACCAGAGACAACTGGAGCAGCAGATCATCCACCAAGTGGGTCGACGCAAACTGGGGAGACCCAGACCTCGGAGCAGAGCAGCGGAGGTATTTACAACCGAAAAAAGATGACTACGACAGTGATTCCGGAGAGCTTGGCCTTGGGGCCTCCGCTGCAACTACCCCCCATTCAAATGGAGCAGGACCCATTCTTTCTCCAGGCTCGACAGACCAGGGAACTCCCATCGGCTGGTACCCCAGCACAAGTTGGGTCTACGCCGACCCAAGGGAAGAAGCTCCTATGGCCGGAGTCCCGACCCAGGGGGGCGTCTCTATCCCCGGGCACCCAGAGAGCCCAATGCCCACTACCACCATCGCCCGGGCTGAACCGACGGAT